GTCTTTTCCACTGAGTCCAATGAGTTGAATGCATGCATGAACAACATGTGTGTCCCCAGAGGAAGACCCAACAAAACTCAAGCCTGGGGCCCCAGCCCTAGCTCCGGGTCTAAGGGTAGTGCCTCAGGTTCTAGCAATATGAAAGAGAAATAGCTCTTCCCAGTCTCCCAGGCCTCCTCTAGACAAGGAGGGTGGAAGCCACGGTCCCTGGCACAAGAAGTGGGGTTATGCTCTCAAGGAATCAGCCCCAGGCTGGAGTCGAGGCCGATGATCAGGGCTCCAGATAAGTGACAGAGGGACAGAGGGGTTGAGGGACAGGCTAGACCAGTGTTTAGGGAATTTGCAGATGAGGGACCTGACAGGTGTATGTGTTGGGGGAGGGGTGGATGGGTCCTAGTCCCCCAGAAAGTAGGTGGTGGGCAAAGGCAGGGGTGGGCAGAATCTGTTCAGAACAAGAAGGGAGGCCCCCTAGTTTGGGGGTGGGGGGAGGTGGCTGCAGACTTGGGCCAAAGGTGAGGCCTCCCTTGGAAGAAGCACTTAATAGGAGGGAGAAAACTGGTTTTGGGGTGAGCCCCCCTTCTCACCAGGAAGGATGTTGCTGCAGAGCAGAAGCCCAGGGAAGGAGTGATGGCCAGAGGGCCGGGTGAGAGGGACGGGGTGGGAGGGCATCCTCTAAGAATTCGGGAGCTGAAACTTGGAGCCATGGTAGGTGCTTGAGCAAGGGTGGTCTTGCGAGGGAGCTGCGGGGCGCTGGGCGGAGCGGAGTCAGCTGGGAGCATCCGAGAGCCTCGCGGGCCGCGGGGTGCTGGGGATCGGCTCCTCTCCGCCTCGGGCAGTCGCACTGTCAGTCCCGGGCTGGCGGCCCGAGCCGGGCTGGGCCGGGAGCGCGCGCGAGTTCTCCGCATCGGCCGCCGGAGGGGCGGGGCCGGGCACGTGTCCTCGGGCCACCCCTCTGCCACGTGACCGCCGAGGGCAGGGTCGCGGCGGGACCCGGGGCCCGGGCCGCGCAGACCCACAGGCAGCGGGCAGCACTGACAGGCGGTGGGGCAGCCCGGCGGGCCCCGCGCGGAGTCGGCGGCGGGCGGGGACGGCGCGAGGAGCTAGCGGGGAGATCGCCGCGGCGGCGCAGGGAACCTACGCCGGCGGGCCCCCAAGCGCCGGGATGTGGAGCGGGTAGGTCCCCGCTGGGTTGGGCCGCGGCTGCCTCCGGGGGTGGGACAGTGGGGGGGGGGGCATCCCTGCCGTGTGTGCACCCTCACCGGGAGGTGCTTTACGCCCCCATTCCTGCCCGCGACTGGGGATGGAAGGACACCCGGCCCGGAGCGATCAAGGGGTTTCTCTGCGGGGCAGGGAGTATGAAGGGTGGGCTGCAGACCGTCCTGAAGTGATGGCACCAACTCCTCAGTGCTAGTTGGGAGCGCAAGTGAGATTGGGGGAAGGGAGTGGGCGGCGGAACGCAAGCCAGAGCAAGCCTGGGAAAAGACCTAGAGGAAGGACGCNCCCCCCCCGCCCCCAGGCTGGGTGAACCCTTGAAACACAGTGCATTTGGGAAAGGGGGACTGGGTCTGTGTTAAGTTGGCTTGCAAGCTGGTGAACCTCCGTCTGGGGCTCCTGAAGCGTCTGGGCTCAGAGGTGTGGGTTGGGACCTGCCTGCAGGCTGGCAGCCGGCAGCACGGACTCTGGGCCGGTAGTGGCTCTGGTACCCATATCTGTTCACTGATGCTCAAGGGTCCCTGGGTGACCTGATGTGGAATCCCTTCCCTGTATGTGCAGAAAGACTGCATGGTCTTCTCACCTAGTGGGGTAAACACTTCTTCTTCCTCATGAGCCTGGAGAGACCAGGTCCTGGCGGAGATGTGGCCAGAGGTGGTGGGGGTGGGGGCTGGTATTCCTGGGTGGAACCAGCCAGATGGGTGGTCCCAGGACAGGGCTCCTCCCAGTCGCAGCTGGGGAGTGAGGGAAGCCCCAGAGGAGAGGCTGGCGGGCTGGGAGTTTGATGCAGGCTGGATCCACTTTACTCCACGGCACCTAGCAAAGCTGGAGCTGAGATGCTAGGGGAGGAGTGGGGTGGGGGGGGAGTTATCTCCAGAAAGGGGCTCTGAGAGAATGGGCTCCTGTAGGGGTGAGGTGTGGAGAGGCGTGAGAACTTTTAAAGGGAAAGAGTTAGGCAGAGCGTGGATTCTTTTGGAATTGCGCCCTGGGGGAAGGAGACTGAGCTTAGGGAGAAGGAGGTTGAGGTGGGCTTCTGACAGTTGGTGAGGTTAGAGTGATCCTGCTGGGGGTTAACCATGTTTGAGTAGCCTGGGTGGAGGGAGCTCGTGACTCCTTGCATTGGGTGCACCCAGGCGCACACACAGCCACCGAGGAGTTGTGTGATCCTGAGGATATGGCCTCACTTCTCTGAGCCTCTAGGTTGTGTGGTGGGACTGATCCAGGCCCAGAGTGTGTCCTTTCCCGCAGGCATCCAGGCTGGGCCTGCCAAACAAGTCTGGGACCTCTCAGTAGATGGATGCTCATTTTAAAGACAGAATCAGAGTCCCAGGACCCTCTGGATGGACCAGGCTTCTCCAGTGGATCCTCACTTGATGCTCAGTGTGGCTCACTTGGATTCCCCAGGGCTTAGCTGAGTGCAGAGTACACACTAGGTGCTTCATAGATGCAGACGGAAAGCATGAGACAGAATGAGGCATTTGGGGATCGAGAGGCAGAATTTGGGGGTTACCATGAGCACTGCCTTCTCATGGACCCTTCACTCGGGTATTGGAGGCAAGGACTGAAGGATCAGGAGTCAAGCTACTAGCACCCACTGGGGGCCTGCTGTCCTGGGAGATCACAGACCCCAGCAGCAGTGGGGAGGGATACTGCTTGGGCCATGCTTGCCCAGGTAACTGATTGAGCTGCTGTGACAATTCTGGGCAAGTCCCTACCTGGGATCCTTCCTCCTAGACTAGGTGGGGTGGTGAGGAGTCGATGACCCTGGCTAAGCCACTGATGTCTCTGGGGCTTGGTTTCCCCAATCTTGAAGACAACTGAGATGCATGTCTTGGGTGACTGCTCTGTTAATGGCCAGGTCATGGTGCCAATTCACCTTCTTGGCCCTGGACCATGGACCGCTCCTCCAGGGTGGGTGGCAGTGACAGGACTCTACAGGAGCTCGAGTGGACCATCTTCCTTAGGACTCCTTGAGTGTGGGCCCTGAACTCAGAACTCAGAGGTAGCTCCCCTGAAACAGAGCTGCTGTCCCCTCCCCCACAGAGTCCCATGCCCATAGTCTTGGATGCCTAGCCAGCTCCGAAGTGATGGGGTGAGGATGATGGGATACTTGGGATACTTCTGCTGCTAACACAGCAGTAAGCGCTTGAGACTTGGTCATCGGAGGCCAGAGTTCGGGTTCTGGGGTAGTTTACTGCCACTAAGTGGCCATGTGGGTGTAGCGCCTCAGTTTTCCCATCTGCCAGATGGGGGTAATCATACCTATCCCTGAGGGAGGACAGGCTCTGATGCACTGCCCAGGAAGGGGAGAGAGACCACCCCAGCCTCCCAGGGATGGGGAACCGTGTCTTTGCTGCAGGCCTAGAGATGGGCTGTGTGATCTTGAGAAAGTCACCTAACTGCTCTGGGACTTGGCTACCCTAACGGGATTGGATCTGTGAGGTCCTGCTTTAAGGTGTCACAGGGAGCTCCGGGCTCTGAAATGGCATCTGAAGTATGGCCTAGGGGCTCCAAGGTCGAGAACAGGGGAAAAGGGTACAACCATCCCTGTCACCTCCTCCTGGAAGCCCGCCATGATTTACCTACCTCCCCCCTCAACAGGTGGAGATCGCTTTCCTGCCGTTAATCAGCCCACACCAGTCTGTGGGGCTCAGATGCTCAAGAGAGTTCTGCGTGTCCTAGACTGTCCTCCCATCTGCACGGGATTTGTGCCCAACGGAGTGGGGGAAGGGAAGCAAAATGAATTCAGCTGTGATGAGAAGGGGGCATGGTGAAGTTGCTGCCAGAATCTGTGCTGATTGCATGAGGGTGGGCTTGTGGTGTGCCTGGCACAGAATAGGTGCTCATATATATGCGTCGCGTCTTTGAGGCCTTGGGGTATCTGTTTCTTCTAGGACCAGACAGGCGAGTGTGTGGCACATGCTGTGTGCCCTACTCTGCCCCAGTCATTGAGGGAGCCCTCCATCCTCTTAGGCCTTGTGCCAGCTCCCAGTGGAGACATCTAGGCTGGGCTGGGCGGGCAGCCTTGGAGCTGTGGCTGGGAGAGGCTTGGCCTGGCCCACCTGCCTCGGTGTTCTGAGCTGCCTGCTTACCATCCCGAAGCTGTCCCTGCCCTCCTCCTCCTCCTCTGCCCTCCTGCTCCCTGCCCGGTACACACCTGCGTCCCCCTTCCCAGAGTGGTCCAGGCCCACCCTATCCTACCCCAGGGGTCCCGCTTGCCTCAATTCTCAGCATTCCTGTGTTCCCATCTGTGACCCTGTTCTCTGATTCTTCTGCAGCCCTCCCGTCCTGGCCCTCAGCTCCTCTGCCACCCATCCCCTCATCCAGGCTCAGGGCTGCAGCTGCTTCCTCTGGGCTGGTGCCTCCCCTCAGCCACCACTTCCCAAATGCCTCAGCCACCCCCCTTTCCTTCCCTGAAAGACCCCCTCCCAGTTCCTCATTCCTGTCCTGGGCACCACTGTTGTCATTCACCTCGTCTTTGGTTTTTAATTATATTAATTACTGTTAGCTATTTTGGTCCCCCTCTCCAGCCCCTGGGCTCCCACTGATTCCCCCACCCAGAAGTCTTTTGTCTCTGTGTGTCCTCTCTGCATGTCCCCTCCTAGCCTGCAGCCAGCCTGCCTGGCTAGAACAGCAGCCTTGGGTGGAACCCCCCACCACTACCACCATCCCCAGCACCACTCCGGCACTGGCTCTAACTTCCTCAAAACCCTGTCTGCATCCCGCCTCACTTCTCTGAAACCACCATTCATCCCCTTTCCTCCCATCCCGCCTCTTCTGGTTGACAGTTCACATGACGCACTAGTGCCTGGGCTCTGGGTTCAGATCCCCTGTTGCCGCTTCCTTGCTGTATGTGTTCAGCCAGCTCGCTGTCCCTCTCTGGACCTCGGGTACCTCGTCGTTCACCCAAACTGGGGAGAGCCTCTCGCCGTGGCAGCATCGTAAGTTCACCTGTGGAGACACGGAGTAGTGGGCTGGCATGAACATGAGCGGGAGCTTGGGAATCTGATCTGGGTCTGGAGCTGAAGACTTGGGCAACACGCGAAACCTTTCCTGGGACCCCCTCGGCCCCTGGACGGGAGTCACTTGGTTGCCAGCCTTAGTGTCCTCAGGGCAGGCTTCCTAACCCTGTGGCTGTTCCCTGGGTCAGGATTCCTGCAGACCAGACCTGCAGAGGCAGAGATGCTGCCTGGGCTTCGTGGTCCCAGGCAGAAGGCGAGAGTCCCAACTCTCTCCCTTCCCCGGTTTTCAGCGCTTCCCTCGCTGGCACCTCCCCTAATTGTTTAAATGAACCCACTGTGCCCTGTTAGTCTTTAACTCACAGAGGTGACCTGGGCACTGGGGGGCAGAGAGGGGAAGGGCAAAAGGACCGCATGGCAGGCTGGGCCCGGTGGGGCTTGCTGGGTGACTGGGGACCATAGCCTCCAGGGTTGCTCCTCATTTGGCCATTTTTTTTTCTGGTTAGGGATGAAAGCCCTGCTGGCCCCTCTAGGGGTGGCCTGGGGACTGAGGATTGCAGTTACTGCTCCCCCCTCTCCTGCCCCCACTGCCTGTATGCTTCCTGGGGAAGTGACCCAGCGGGGCCTTTCCTGTACGAACTCCCCGGGCTCTAGGCTGCGGAGCTGGCTTGGGGATGGGGGATGTTGGCCGCCCCCACCTACCCCTGACCTTGACTCATTACCTCCCTCCCTCCGGAGCGGACCCCTTCCCAGCGGCCCCTGCGGCGTGTCCTGGACACTGACCTCTGTTTCTGCAGGGAATATGGGGGCTGAGAAGGTTTGAGGAGAAGGCCATGGACCTGGACTGGGGGCAGAGAGGCGGGGCAAAAGGACTTAAGTGGTGACCCGTGCTGTCCAAGGAGTGAGCTCCCCACCCCCACAGGTGCTCGCACCTGAGTTTTTGGCCTTCCCGTGCTGAAGTGTATAGATGATAGCGGATTCTGGCTTGGGTAGACCCGAGGGGCTTGGAGTCCTTCCTTCATCTGAACTTTGAGTTACAGGAGCTGGCTCCATGGCCCCAAGTGTGAGGGAGAGGGTCTGCAGACTCCAGTGCAAGGTGGGCCCCCCTCCCCTCCTGCTCCTGCACCGCGGGCCCAGACACCGGGAAGTTGGTGACCATGGTGTGGTCCTGCTGTCCCCACACTTTCCGCCATGAGGATTTGCTCGTGGACTTTTCCACTGGGGAGAGAGAGGGGTGGGTATCACAGATGCTCCGTCTCAGGCCTCCCTGAGACACTCTTTCCTCTGGCTGCAAAATAGGGGCCCATCCCCCCCAGCAGCAGGCCAGGTGAGCCCGTTAGGAAAATGCTGGGGGAGGGGGGCTTCTGGACACACCCCCAGCCCATGGCCAGAGACCCAGTCCACACTGGTGGATGAAGTTCAGGCCTCGTGGGAGAGGCTGGCGGCCTGTGGTCCCCTCCATCTCCCTTGTGCTTTCTCAGTTGTTTCTGACTCTTTGTGACCCCATGGGTTATAACCCACCAGGCTCCTCTGTCTATGGGATTTCCCAGGTAAGAATACTGGAGTGGGTTGCCATTTCCTTCTCTTTGTCCCCTAGGCGGGGGGTATGGGCAGTGGCAGGGTGATGCTAGGTGTCTTGAGACCTGAGATCATGCCCTGTGTCCCATGCTGTCCCTACAAGTCACCTCCTGCCCTTGGCCTATAGTTCTTGCTCGTTCTATTGTAGTGGGCAGCCCCGAGGTGGGCTGAGTGATTATGGCCATCCTCTCAACTGAGGAAGTGGGGCTGGGCTCCAGGTCTCCAGGCTCCCCCCGTGGGTGCATCCTCAGGGTCTGGGGTTTCAGGTGCAGGACACAGAGCCTGGGCAGGAATGGTGAGAGTGGTGGGATGCATGACAAACGTGGGTGCAGACAGCCCCACTATTTCCCTGGGGCTGTGACCAGTGACTTCCTCACTAGATTCTTGGTGAGTCCCTTGCAGGTTTTATCCTCACCCCACAGGCAAGGAAGTAGGTTGAAAGAATTTCAGTGACTTTCCCAGGGGCTTGTGTGGACCCCAGGTTGGAACCTGACATGGACCCTGCCGTGCCCGACTAGCCTGTGCACTCAGCCACAGCTCCCCCAGTCCTGGACTCCCTTCTGGGAGGCAGTTTGGGCTAAAAATGGGTCAGCTCTTTCTGTCACAGCCAAGGAGGAGTCTCCTGACTGCTTGGGGGCTCAGTGGCCCTTGATCTCCAAGCAGATGCATGGTTCTGGCACCCGCTCCCCAGCCTTCTATCGGCTGTGGCTGGCAGCTTTGGGCTTGGGCTGAAGACCCAGCCGCCTGTCCCACCAGTGCCCCCCACTAGCTGTGTGACCCTGGGCAGATCCCATCACCTCTCTGAGCATCATCCCACAACTGTAGAATGGGGGCAATACAACAAATGCTATTGAGAGTTTTAAATGAGATAACAGGGGCAGAGCTCCCTGTGATAAGTCCCCTGGGTGCAGCTCCCAGCCTGGGGCCTCCACAGCACTGCCATAGCCCTTCAAGCTTCCTGGGCCCCCTTGCCAATGAGACCCCCCCACCCACACACACACACAAGGGTATTAGGAGAGACCCCATCTGGCATAAACACTGTTGATGGAGTGGTGGGTGCGCATTCCCACTTTATTCATCAAAGCCCCCTGTCCCTAGAAGGCAGAACCCAGAGCCAGGAACCTCGGGGCCAGTTCCAGCATATGGCAGGCCAGGCTGGGCAGCTGGACGAGGCCATGCAGAGGGATGGGAACGGGCTCATTGCTAGGGTCCCTCGGTGCCTGGTATTCCTAAGGGGAAACTGAGGCTCAGAGGCTGCCAAGTGACTGTCCCAGGGTGCAGGGGACAGACCTCAGCCTTGCCTTACCTCCCCTCCGCAGTCCTGAATTTTATGACCCCTGGGCCTTGTCTTTCCTCTCTCCTGTGTGGGCCCCTCTTGGCCTCCTTCCCCTGCACTTCCCCACTGCTATCAGCAGCCCAGCCCCCCCACCCTCAGCCCCGTCAGGGCCGCTCAGAAGCTGCTGGCTCAGCTTGTGCTGAGTGAGCAAGTCCAGAGGTGCTGTCTTGGCACAAACCGCCACTGTCGGGGCCTCTCCTTCCCTCCGTCCTCAGGGTCTGCTGCGAAGGGGCAGCGTGGAAAGGAGGGGAGGGGCTGCAGGGGGGCAGAGGCTGGTGGCCCGCGCCTCCCACTGCCTCTGGGGTCTTCGACTTCAGGGAGGGGGGTCCTGAGGGCAGGGGTGGGGGCAGGCAGAGGGAGGGGGCTGTTTGCCTGAGGTCACAAGGCAGACCAAGCGGAGAGCTGGGAGTGCCCTCTACACCGTCCGGAAGGCAGGAAGTGGGGCTGTCGTTCCCAGGCCGTTTGCACAATCTTCCTGTCTTGGCCTTGTCTGCCCTTGGCTGGGTCCTTCCTCTATGGTCCACCCTAAATGGGACTGAATCTGCATAAAATTTGTGTGAGTGCTAGCAATGAAGGCAGTTCCCACTTAAAGGTCTTATGTGCTGAGGCGGATCCATTCAGAATGTCCCTTGGAGACTCAAGGAGATCCAACCAGTCCATCCTGAAGGAAATCAGTCCTGAATATTAACTGGAAGAACTGATGCTGAAGCTGAAACTCCAATACTTTGGCCACCTGATGCAAAGAACTGACTCACTGGAAAAGACCCTGATGCTGAGAAAGATTGAAGGCAGGAGGAGAAGCGGACGACAGAGGATGAGATGGTTGGATGGCATCACCGACTCGATGGACACAAGTTTGAGCAAGCTGCGGGAGTTGGTGATGGACAGGGAAGCCAGGCGTGCTGCCGTCCATGGGGTCGCAAAGAGTCAGACACGACTGAGCGACTGAACTGAACTGATCCATTCAGTGCCCTTGAGGTAGGGCCATTGGGATTGTCCCAGTTTTGTAGGAGAAACTCAGGCTGTCAACATGGATGCATTTATAGTGTCTGCTGGGCAAACAAGTTCCTGCTGTGTGCTGAGCACTTATGTGGTCCTAGGCTGGAGGGAGTGGTTGATGAAGGTGAATGAGTCCTGTCCTTGTCCCCAGGAGACGCTATGCTTGGTCATTCTGCCCCTGTGACAACCCCAATGACGGCCCATTTTACAGATGGGGAGACTGAGGCCCCGGGTTGCAGGTGCATTGCCCAGGGCTGGTCCCTGGGCTCAGTTCTCCAGGCCTCAGGACCCACCCCTGTATCTGCTCTTTGCCTTGCAGCCAGCCTCACCCGGACGAGGGCCACCCACCACCCCTTGAAGCTGTCCCAGTCCCCTGGAAGAGCGTGGGCCCCTGCAAAAGCCACAGGGAGTCCCTGGGAGGCCTGCCGGAGACCCCTGCAGGGGAGGAAGCCCAAGGCGAGGAGGGCCCTGCAACCACCCAGCTGGACGTGTCACGCCTGCGCAGCTCTTCCATGGAGATCCGAGAGAAGGGCTCGGAGTTTCTGAAGGAGGAGCTGCACAAAGCCCAGAAGGTGGGCACTGAGGACGGGGGAGACACGGGTGGGTGCGGGGGGCAGGTACACGGGGTGTGGGGGTGGGGGAAGCAAGGGGCTGGCCGGTAGCCGCGGGCTCTCACCCAGCACCCAGAGATGTCACCCTCCTTTGAAGGCCACCTACATGCTAGGCCTGTGCTGGGCGTGAGGGCAGCGCAAACAAAACCAGTTCCTGTGACTTTTAAAGGACTTTTCTAAGCCTTGACGTCCCTGAAAACCGGTCCCAAGGTCTAAGGAACTGACAGCTGGGGTTCAAAGAGGAAGCAAGCTCGGGCCCTTAGGCCCGTGTGAGATGACCCCCCGGGCACGGCGCCTCGTTTCCCCAGGAGCTGAAGCTGAAGGATGAGGAGTGTGAGCGGCTGTCCAAGGTGCGGGAACAGCTGGAGCAGGAGCTGGAGGAGTTGACAGCCAGTCTGTTCGAGGTGCGGCCCGGGGCGCAGTGGGGAACGGGCCTGCTGGGCGTCCGTGGCGCCCCCCCCGACTCACGCGGAGCCCGCCCTTTGCCCAGGAAGCCCACAGGATGGTGCGGGAGGCCAACACGAAGCAGGCGGCGTCGGAAAAGCAGCTGAAGGAGGCCCGGGGCAAGGTGAGGCCCTCCTCGGCCGGACCTCCTGCCCACCTCCCAGCACTGCAAGCGCTGGCCTTTGAGACCTCATCGGACCCCGGCGTGGCCTGGGGGGCCGGCAGGGATGGGCCAACCAAGGCCCAGCAGGGAGGGGCAGAGGTCTGAGACAACCCCGCTGAAACGTGCCGGCTGGTATGGGAGCCCAGCGATCTGGGCCTCTAGCTGAGCTTCCACAGCAGAGACCGCGCTGGGGGCTTTTCAGGGGCTGGGAAGATCCTGTGGCCCTGTAACTTCTTTTCCCTCCTCCCATGCCGCTTTTACACAGCAGCATCAATCTGGCTGTGTGAGTCTAGACAAGTAGCTTTACTTGGAGCCCGTTTGCCCATCTGCAGAAGTGTGAGGGCCAGGCTTGTTTCTGACTCCTGGGGACCCCTCACTGGGAGGCCCAGCCCGCTCCCAGACCTGTACACCTCAAGAGTCCTGGTTTCTAGGATGACCTTCGCCAGGCTGTATCTCTTTTTTGAACCTCAGTTTCCCCATCTGTGGTGGCTCCGACGGTAAAGAATCTGCCTGCAATGCAGGAGACCTGGGTTCAGTCCCTGGGTCAGGAAGATGCCCTGGAGAAGGAAATGGCAACCCACTCTAGTATTCTTGCCATGGAGAATTTCATGGACAGGGGAGCCTGGCAGGCTACAATCCACGGGGACGCGAAGAATCAGATACAACTGAGCAACTAACACTTTCACTTTACTTTCCCTATCTGTAAAATGGGTATCTCAGCCCCTGCCTCCGAGGCTGTTCCAAGGGTCAGGGGTGGGGTGAGGTGTTGGTTGCAGTCCTGAGCTGGGGTAGGGCAGCGGGGTGGCCTCAGCCCTGGGCTCACATTAATGACCATCTCATCCTGGCCAGATTGACATGCTGCAGGCAGAGGTGACAGCTTTGAAGACACTGGTCATCACGTCTACACCAGCCTCTCCCAACCGCGAGCTCCACCCGCAACTGCTCAGCCCCACCAAGGCCGGACCCCGCAAGGGCCACTTGCGCCATAAGAGCACCAGCAGCGCCCTCTGCCCCGCCGTGTGCCCCGTTGCCGGGCACATCCTCACCCCGGACAAGGAGGGCAAAGAGGTGAGGGGCATTGTGCGGGCAGTGGTCACGGTAAAGGCAGCCAGCGCCCCCTGTCAGGCAGACAGCAGTGCCCAGTGGGGACCCGCCTGCCCCCAAGTGTGTGACCAGGAGCCTGTCCTGCCCTCCCTGGGCCTCTGTGTCCTCTGGTCATGAGGGCCGAGTGAGTTCCTTGTGGTATGAAGTGTCTGACCCTCAGGAGGGCATGAGGGGGGTCCCTGTTCAGGCGGACAGCAGCTGTGATGTCCTTGGTTGTGGGTCTTGGGCAAGCGGGACCCCTGTCAACACCTCAGTCTCCTCGCTTAAATGCGGATTCCTGGGGCCATGGGAGCTCAGCTCAGGGCCGCACCCAGTGAACGCCCTGCATGCCCACAAGGACTGTAGTGGGATTCGGGTTCCTGGGGTCTCAGGCCCAGATGGCCCCAGCTCCATCCTGCCCCAGGCCTCCAGGGAGGACGCCCAGGCCAAGCCTCTCCACCCCCTTCTGAGCTCTCAGCTGCCGACTGGCCTCTAACGTCTCCTTCCTCTGTCTTTCTCTGTGCATCCGTCTGTCTGTCTGTCTGTCTTGCCGGCCCAGCCGGGGCTGCCTCCCCTTCTCTCCCTGCTCCTCTGCGTGGTCCCCAGCAAGGCGGCTCACCTCACCTACGAGCCGGCCTGGCAGCTCCCGCCTGGGGAGCTGCCCGTGGGCCTCACCTCCGCTACCTCCCTCTCCTTTTCCCGACAGGTAATGGCTCTGGAGGGGGGCCGCCCCCTGCCCCCCAGCCTCTCATTCTGCATGTGCCCCCAGGGCAGCTGGCAAGTTGTGCACGTTCCCTTCCGTGTGCACACGCCTCTGTGTGCCGTGGCTCCCAGCAGGTCCCCACATGTACTGGCGGGTACCTGCAGAGTCACTCTTCAACTATCCCTCCTCAAGGAGGCAGCCAGGGTCTTTGGGGTGAGACCCCGGAGTGAGTGAAAGTCGCTCAGTCGTGTCTGAGTCTTTGTGACCCCATGGGCTATACAGTCCATGGAATTCTCCAGGCCAGTATCACTGGAGTGGGTAGGCTTTCCCTTCTCCAGGGGGATCTTCCCACCCTAGGGATCGAACCTAGGTCTCCTGCATTGCGGGCGGATTCTTTACCAGCTGATCCACAAAGGAGGCCCAAGACCCTGGGCCCACGTCTAATTCTCTAGTGCCAAGAAACTATAAACACACCCGGAAGTGAAACTTGGGAGTTCGTATCTCAATTCTGCAGTGCAAAGGGAAAAGAAGAGTCCTTTTCGAGGACTTGGCTCCTCTGCACAGCCTCAGGCCCAGCGGGCCCTGAGCTTCATCCTCCCTGGCTCCCCACCTCCTTAGGCTCTGCCTGTCTCTGCTATGCTGCCCTTCCCCACCCCCCCAGCACCCTGACCCCTGACCCGGCTCCCCCGCCCCCACAGGTGGACACAACCCTGTTTGCAGAGTTCCAGGCCTGGAGGGAATCGCCCACCCTGGACAAGACCTCCCCGTTCCTGGAAAGGGTGTACCGGGAGGATGTGGGCCCCTGCCTGGACTTCACCATGCAGGAGGTGAGGCAGGCAGAGGGTGGCCTGCTGGAGGGCCCAGCCCCGTGACCGGACGCCAGCCCCTCATCGCCTCCTTTTGCCTCCCTGCTCTGCCGCAGCTCTCGGCCCTCGTCCGGGCCGCCGTGGAGGACAACACACTCACCATCGAGCCCGTGGCTTCGCAAACCCTGCCCGCAGTGAAGGTGGCTGCCGTTGAGTGTGGTCGCACCAAGTAAGCTTAGAGCCCTGCACCCTTCCTGCCCCCTGGGAAAGGCCCGGTGTAGCTTTGGGCTGCATCAAGGGGGTGGCCGGGGAGGGCTGAACCTCAGAGCTGCTATGCTGGGTCCGGCAGTGGGACCCGAGGGTGGGCAGGGGCACCCGACCAGAGAGGGACAGTGGCTGCCCCCATGCAGGGCAAGGAGGCATCTGTGGCCGAGATGTCGCCTCTAGTTCTGGAGCTGGGGTCTTCCCCTCCAGGCTGGCCTGACGTGCTTCCCTCTCCACTCCCTCTCTCCTGCAGTGGGTTCCGGGCCCCGATTGACACGTAAGTGATGTCATTTGTTGACTCCACCTCCTGACAATGACCTAAGGGCCCTGGGATCTGGTCCTCCTTGCTTCTTAGCTGGCACTGGGCAGGGCCAGCGTCAGAGCTAAGCTGCCAGCATGGAGCGAGGGCAGGCACTGGAGCCTGTGAGGGAGGCCCACAGTGGGAGCCTTGTCACAGAGGGGAATATTTGAGCTGGGTTTTGAAGGATGAATGAGTTTCCCAAGCAGGGAATAAGTTTCCTGGGGGTTAAAGAATCTGCCTGCAGTGCAGGAGATGTGGGTTCAATCTCTGGGTCAGGAAGATACCCAGGAAAAGGAAATGGTTACCCACTCCAGTACTCTTGCCTGGAGAATTCCGTGGACTGAGCCTAGCAGGCTACAATCCATGGGTTTGCAAAGAGTCAGACATGACTGAGCGCTAAGCATGTATGCATGCAAGCAGGGAAGGGCCTTTGAAACAGAGGCAACAATTTGAGTAAAGGTATGAGAAGCCGGAATGGTAATGGAAAACACCATTGGGTGGATAGGCACAGAGTTGGGACTCAGGCAGCAGAGCGCATATGGGACCAGTGTGTGAAGGGCCTCAAATGAGGTTTGGGCTTTAACCCACTAAAGCCAGCATTTCACAGATCATCGATTAACATTGTCTGAAAAGAGGATTCCCTGTTCAGATCCTGGAGGCAGCAAAGGTTCTGATAAGCAGCCAAGGAGCCTATTTAACCTCGCTTTAGTTGGGATTCTCCATAACTGTTTCCTGGGCAGTAGGAAACGGTAGTGTTTAGATGTGGGTTTGGGGAGTAGCCCCTGGCTGTAACATGGAGAAGGGTAGAGATGAGGCAGAGAGCTGTTGGAATGAGTGAAGGCATCCAGGCCAAAGGTCCTACTGGCAGGACCTAGGACTTGGTGACCTAAGTGGAGGAGAGAGAAGACTCCTGCTTAGTTGGAGGAAGGGGTGACTGGGTCTTGGGGTTCCAGGAAAGAAGGGGGGTGCACATTTTTAGGGGCTGCAGAGGATGGAGCTTTGGTATACCTGGCCTGAGGTTGACCAAGCCCTCCTGTCCAACAGGGGTGAGGTGAGGGGGTTAGAGATGGGGTCCAGCTTGGTTTAAAAGTCTCATCCGGGGTCTTCTGGGGTTGCCCCCCTCCTTGGCTGGGCTCTAGGCTCCTTGGGAAGCTGGGGCTAGGAGAGAGGGCACCAGTCCCCACTCTGACGTCTGTCTGCCCGCCCTTTCCCTATGCCTTCTCTGGCTGCTGCTGCTTCCCTGCATGAACTGGGTGGGCAAGCCCCAGCCATCCCCATGGTCCCCTCTGCTTTTTCACAGTACATGTGCCCTGAGTGGGCTGGCCTGCGCCTGTCGTCACCGAATCCGGCTCGGGGACTCTGAGAGCCACTACTACATCTCACCGTCCTCCCGGGCCAGGGTGAGTCATCTAGTGGGAGTGTAATCTGGTTCCTCAGGGGCTCCCTGGGCTGGGACTCTGAACCCCAGGCTGCACAACCTACAATCTGCAGATCAAGGCACAGGCTCAGAGAGGTGCAGAGACTGACTTGGGCCACACAGCCAAGCCAGGTGTATTTGTTTGCTGTTGCTATGTAACAAGTTACTATAAACTTAGTGGAGTATCTATTACTTATCTCACAGACTCCCTGGGTCAGGAGTCTAGGCACAGCTTAGGGTCTTCTGCTCAGGGTCTCATGGGTTGCAGTCACTGTGTCAGCAGCTGCATCCTTTCTAGAGATCCAGGCCCTCTTCTGAGTTCACATGCTGTTGGCAAAAGTCAGTTCCTTGTGGTTGAAGGACTGAGGTAGTCATTTTCTTGCTTGTTGAAAAGTAATCATGGGAGTGATACCCATCACCTCTGTCATTCAATGTAACCTAATCAAGGGAGTGTGAATAGTGTGATTAATCACTCCAGGGACACTAGAGTTCAGGGGAAAGTTCCATGCTCCTGACCCCTGGCTCTAGCCCCGGGCTTTGGAGAAAGAAGGTTCTGAGACTTGTCTGACAGTTAGCCATGGGCACCGAGGGGCCTCTAGGAATCCCAGCTTCCGCCCTCACATGCCGGGTGACCCAGGATGAGGTCACTGAGCTGGGATGAGGGTGGGATGGGTGGACCCCAGACAGTGAGGAAGAGTTGGAAGAACAAAAGTGTGGAAAACTCTGAAGCTTGGTGTAAAGGTCACACAGTGAGGAAGGCCCTCTTGGAGGAGCAGTCTCCTCCCCTTGACCTTCTAGAGGTGCCTCATGGGACTAAAATAGGCTGTTTGCCATCACTGGGCAGCAGACTGACCAGCCAGGCAGCTCATCTGGTCCTGATGCCTCTGCCGGGCATCCCAGCATGGGTGTCCTGGTGAATCCTCCCAGCAGCGAGCTGTGCTCCCAGTACAGAGAGGAAGCTTAAACCTTAGAAAGGAAAAGGGGTGCACTCTGGGTCACTCAGCCTAGACCTCGGGTCTCCCCATCCTGGATCCAGTCTTTCTGCTGCAGCCTTCACCCTCTGCGTCTGTGTCCAGAGTCTTGTTCAGTGGCCATGGGCCCCCTTTGTGCTTTTTTGGCCACACCCTGTGGCTTGCAGGATTTTAGTTCCCCAACCAGGAGTGGAACCCATGCCCCCTGCAATGCAAGCACTGAGTCTTAACCAGTGGACCGTCAGGGAAGTCCCCTCTTTGTTCTTTCTGATCCCAACCAGGAGATCCATCAGGCACTCCCAGGCCTACAAAATTACATCTAGAACATCGGTTCTTCCAGGCCCGTGTGTCTACTGTGTTGGCTGGAGCTAGGAGGGGAGAGGAGGGGGTGAAGTTTTAGGATGTGGTCCCCGCCTTGAGGGGCTTCCCTTGTGGCTCAGTCGGTAAAGAATCCGCCTACAATGCAGGAGACCGGGGTTTGATTCCCGGGTTGGGAAGATCCCCTGGAGAAGGAAATGGCAACCCACTCCAGTATTCCTGCCTGGAGAATCTCATGGACTGTAGCCTGTCAGGCTCCTCTGTCCACGGAATCGCAAGAGTCAGACACGACTTAGCAGCTAAATTACCACCACCACCACCCCGCCCTGAGGAGACCAAGGAGTGTGGAATCCATAGGAAGAAGAGTTCTGTCCCCAAACCGCGGCCCTGGGGAGAGAGGACCACTGCTCTCCTCCCCTCCCTACTCAGGGGTCCACTGTGGGGCCCACTGGCCACTAGGCAACACCACGGCCTGGGATTTGAGCTTCTCTGGCCCGCCCCACCCCGCCCTGTGCAGCCCTCCCAGGCGGCGCCTCGGCCACCCTGGGTTAATCCCCTGACCTGGCCTCTCTCCCACCTCCCTGCCTTTGCCAGGGCCACCAGCCCAGCGCACCACTCTGTCGTCCTGGCAAGGGCTCTTGTGTGTTTGAGGGTCCAGGAGGAGCATCACCCCTCCCACAGCTTTCTCCACTTCCCAGCTGGTGCCCCCGCCCCCCACTTGATGTCCCTCCCCCAAAGCACTCGATATTCAGTAGGGGCAGTCGTGAGCACAGCTGCCAGCGGTCTTCCACCCTGTCTTAGGCTGGGTTCCCTAGAGGCAGAGCCCAAGATGGAGAGAGTGTGCAATTCTCAGGAGGCGAGGGAGGGAGGCAGAAGTGGGGACAGGCAAAGGTGAGGCCGCCGCTGGAGTCTGCCTTCATCGCTCTGCAGCCCAGAGTGGGTTCTACTCTGAGGCAAGGGTGTGGCCTTTTCTACTCCACACGCCAGTCATTGGCCCAGGTTTGTGAGGGTACTGGGGTGCAGGGGGGTATTAGCAGCCAGCACACTAGCTGTGGGGAGGTGGAACCCCAGCCTGGGGGAGGGGCCCTGGGCGAGGCACCAACAGCACACTCTCCAGGGTTTGAGTCTTTGTGACCAGCATCAGATCTGAGCCAGCCCAGGGTCTCCGGTGCCCCACAGAGGGCCTGGCATGGAGCAGCCTTAGGCAAAGCAGCTGGGGGCCTCAGGCCGGGATCCAGGGCAGCCAGGTGGGCAGCTTCTGATCCCTCATCTTTCCTGGCACCACACATGGCACCTCCTAAGGACTGGATGCCCCGGGGCCTCCAGCATTCAGACCTAGCAGGCCCCTCAACGGACCGCGGATTCTTGGCAGCCTGCCGGGGTTTCATCTTCCAGCTCAGCCGCAGTGGCCTCCGCAGTTGTTGTCCGGTCGTTCTCGCAGCCTCCACTCCCCCCACGTGTGGAATGGGAATGGTAGGCACGTCGGCCTCTTCGGATCCGCCCGCTTGATTACACTATAGTTGCCGGCATCGTTTTTTTATTAGGAGTAATAGTATTGCTCCTGTTAACTGTAACGTTAGAGCCCAGCGGTAATCTGACTCTGCCAGGACGTGGGACTTCCCAGTGTGATCTCCGATCTTTCCTGGCCTTTGTGGCGGGGACCAAGGGGTTCACACCTTGTCCGTTCTGCCCACAGATCACGGCCGTGTGCAACTTCTTCACCTACATCCGCTACATCCAGCAAGGCCTGGTGCGGCAGGACGGTGAGCGCCCCCTAGTGGCCGACCGGGGGTGGCGCCCGGGAGCGGCGGCGCGGGGCGGGGCGGGTCAGCGGTGGCCGGGCCCACCCCAGCACTTTGCTGCCCTGCTCGGAGGGAGGACTCTGCGAGAGGAAAGCTTGTGAATTAGCAAAGGGCTCCTCGAAGCGTCTCTTGCTACGCCCTGAGGAGAGAGGAAGAGCGGAAGGAGCCTCCCGGGCGTTGCCTCATCAGGAAAACCAGCCGGAGGCCCCTGCATACCTGGATCCTGCTGCTTTGTTCTGTGCAGAAACCTCTCCCAGCCCCCAGGGCCTGAACGAACAGCATCCCTGTTACTGGCCTGGCTTCTGAGGCCCTACAGGGTGGGGCCTCCCCTGTGAATCAGCTCCCTGCCGCGTGGCCTCCCAAATGGTGGCTGAACACGGGCTTGCCCACCTTCCTCTGTAGACCCTCCCCCACCCTTGCCCGACAAGTCCTCTGCCCACCCGCTGTCCCCCTGCCCCCATTCTGCCAGGCCAGGGGATGGGCCCTGCTCACGGTGGCTGGAGAGCATTTGCAGCCTGTCTTAAGTGTGTGGCAGTGTGTGTGTGTGTGCATGTCCGTGTCAGGCTATGAAAGTGACCGTAGTCACCTTCAAGCCTCCCAGGCGTTCAGCACTCAACAGTTTGCAGGACCTCAGAGTGGAGCCTCTAAGAGGTCCGGCCACTCACAGAGGTCATCTGTCCTGAGGGACTGGGGAGTCCTAGGGGTGCCTGCCAGCTGCTGTGCCCAAAACCAGGAGGAAGGGCCAGGCCATCTGCCTGAGGTGACCCTGGGGGTCACTGAGCTGTCCACCTTCTCTTTTTACCTACAGCGGAGCCCATGTTCTGGGAGATCACAAGGCTGCGGAAGGAGATGTCACTGGCCAAGCTAGGCTTCTTCCCTCACGAGGCTTAGGGCATGGCCCAGGCCTGGAGGGCGGCTCTGAGCTGGAAACAACACCCGCCCCAGGACAGACTGACAGACGGGGTCCTGGAGCCAGCCCTGAGCTAGAAGCTGAACGGAGGGACAAATGGCCAGGCCTCGGAGGCAGCACTGAGCCGGCCCCAAATGTCCAACCCTGGACAGGACCTCAGGAGGTGACCTCCTCTCCTCCATAGTACTGCAGCCACCAGGAGACTTTCAAGAAAGCGCCAAAGACCAGGAGCTGGGAGCCATTGCAGAGGGGCTCATCCCTTGGCAGGGGCCCCCCGGGGCAGCCAGCACCTCCTTGCTATCCCGGGAGCTGTTGCCTGCTGGTGCCTCGCTGGTCCCATCTCCAGGGTATCGTTCTCATCCTTCCAGTTCGCAAGCCCTGGGCACCAGCACCCCCTAGTGGCCATGCTTCACCCCATCCACAAATGGCCTCCCCACCGAAGGCCTAGTGGGCCTGCCATCCCAGGTACCCATGGCACAGCAGAGTTAGGAGGGGCGGGCAGGGCCTCCCCGGCTGTCTTCCACTCCATCCTGTATCTGCCAGAGATGGATCGGGGCCCTCGTCCCCCTCCCTCCCTGCTGGCTGAGCCCTACGCTGCAGGGAGCCCCGCCTGCAGCCCTGCTGGGAGGATGGGGGCACTGTCCTCCCAGAGTCAAACACAGATGGGCCACAGGACGCCCAGGCCTCTTTTCAGCTGTGCCTGGCCATTCAGACAACGGGGGCTGAGATCGCCCAGCCCTGCACGCAGGCCTGGGGTGGGGCGGGCAGGACCTGGGCCCCTCCTCACCCCGCATGGTGCCGGGGAGCCAACCTGGACACATCCCTCACCACGTCCAATTTCCTCCTCTGAATGGAATGTAACGCAGTCTATTTAATAAAGGATGGCTTTGTTGGTAGAGGCTGGGCAGCCACGCGCCTTCACTCCTGCACCCTGGGGCTTGGGCCAAGCCTTGGGCATCTGAAGGAATGAAACAAAATCCTTTCCTTGCCCACCCTCGTGCTTGGGATTAAACCCAAATCCTGAAGGGATTGCTGGAAGCAGCACCCCCCGAAGTCCTCCCCAGTGTTCCGTGGGCCCGTGGGTTATTGGGGAGGGGGTGGTGAGCCCCAGCTCCCCCTCCTTGTGAGGAGGGGTCTGCTGTTAGGAGAACAGGAGAATCTGTCCCGGCCTCCCCAGGAATCCTGGGCAGATCCCCTTGAGGTCTCTCTGCCCGGTGTCATGTGGAAGGCTGGAGCTCAGAGTCAAGGCATTGAGGGCTGCCCGGCGCACGCAGGACGGAGGCAGGATTGATTGGTGATGTCTGCCAGCAGCACAGCAGGGGCTGTGGTCACTCTGGTTTTCCCCACCCTGGTCAAGGGACAGTAGTGGTCAGAGGTAGAAGAAAGTGGGGGTGGCCCGGGCCTCTGAGGCCCCATGGTGGACTTTGAGAGGTGTCTTGGGGTGCCCGGTCACCTCCCTACTAGTATGTGGGTGTCCTTCCTTGGGGGGGCATGGCAGCTTCTGGGTTAGTATTTACTGAGGCTGGTGATCCCTCGAGGGGACTTCTCTGAGACCTTGGGGCCACTCAGCTGGTAGGTCAAGGCCCCCCACTTTATCACTCGTTCCAGCCAGTAGCCTCTTCCCTCTTGCTCTCCCGCCTCCCAGATTCTCCCTTCACCGCAGACCCTCCTCTCCACTCCACTTGTGATTTGAATACCTTCTGTCTCCCCATCTCCCCTGGGATGTTCACCAGCTAGGCCTCCTGTCGCAGACGGTCATTTACTCACTCAACAAACACTGGGCAACTCATGTGCAGACACTGTTCCTGGTGCTGGGGGTACCTTGTTGGAGCTGAGACTCTCATGGGGAAGCTGGTAATAAAAATAATGCGTGGGGGAACATCCAACATGGCAGATGGAGGAAGTGAAGCGAGGAGGGCGATGGAGGGTGTCAGGGAAGGACACGTTACCTGGAGTCACCTATGTCCTCTCTTGCCTACAGTCTCTCTGTGTCCTGGGTCAATCCTGGGTCAGCTGGAGGACTGAGGAGGATGGAGGTCTGGGCCCTGGAGCCACCCCAACCGTGCCCCGAGTTTCTGTGCTCCTGGCCCAGCCGTACCCACCACCAAGGAGACACCAGGCAACACTTCAGAGCCCTGGCAGAGGGTCCCCACCCCAGACTCGCTCTGCCTGCACCTGCATAGCATTTCCTGTTGTCAGGCCCAGATGAGGCGAGGTCAGCAAACAGTATGCTAAGATACCTGGAGGCGCATGTGACCCATACAGTAGCTCAGTATTTATGAGCACTATTATGTCCTGGGGTGGGTTCTGAGCGCTTTACATTGTGAAATGAAAATACCTCTTGCCGTATTAACAAACAAGAAATGTCACAGCCATCAGCGATTTCTGACCTCCAAATGTCAATGGGGATGCGACCCAGCGATTGCTGCCACCCCCCATGGTGACTGCTGAAGAACTGGGGGAATACAAAAAGCAAAGTGAACAAGCAAACAGGATTGGGCCCAGAGAGCTGAGGTGTGTATGAAAGGAATGAATTCAGTGATCCCCTTCCCTGGTGGCTCAGATGGCAAAGCCTACAACGCGGGAGACCCGGGTTCAATCCCTGGGTTGGGAAGATCTCCTAGAGAAGGAAACGGCAACCCACTCCAGTCTTCTTGCCTGGAAAATTCCACGGACGGAAGAGCCTAGTAGGCTACAGTCCATGGGGTCACAGAGAGTCGGACACGACTGAGTGACTTCACTTTCACTTCCATACATAGAATACTAAATTTCTTAACTTGCTGTTGCCGCTGCTGCTAAGTCGCTTCAGTCGTGTCCGACTCTGTGCGACCCCATAGACGGCAGCCCACCAGGCTCCGCCTTCCCTGGGATTCTCCAGGCAAGAATATTGGAGTGGGTTGCCATTTCCTTCTCCACCTTAACTTGATACCTGATCTTTACTGTTCAGACTGCTTGTACCCTTTGTTGCAAATTTGAATATAACCCGACTTCCACTCCCGCCTCCTTGGAGGCAGTTTTCTCAGAGCTACTGAGATGCCGTCTCCCTGGCTTGGAGTCCTAAGCATTCCCACCAAATAACTCTACTTTCCAGTTGTGACTTTATTTTTTAGTCGACTGCTGCTGCTGCTGCTACTAAGTCGCTTCAGTCGTGTCCGACTCTGTGTGACCCCACAGACAGCAGCCCACCAGGCTCCCCTGTCTACGGGCTTCCCCAGGCAAGAACACTGGAGTGGGTCGCCATTTCCTTCTGCTTTTAGTCGACAACATGAACAAATTCACTTAATACTCAGGGCACCCCTGTGAGGTACTATTTCTCCCCATTTTGCAGATGAATTGACTGAGGCACCAAGAGGTCGCACAGGAAAAAGTGGCCCCAGATTAGGAATAAATAAACCCCGTCCCAGAGCCCACGGCATCAGCCAGCCTCCTAGAAGCTTTCCTCTCACCACCTGCAGAGTTCCTGATGCTGCCTCAGGCCCTTCTGTGCTTTTCAGTTGTGCAGAATCAGGGTCAGGTGGTGGCAGATGGGGATTTTAATCTAGGTTTCTTTCTCACATTTACCTCCTAACAGCTGCACCTGCAGGCTTCTGGGGGCGGGGGCTCTCAGGGCTTTGGGAGTAAGGAGGGGAAGGCTAGCTGACATCAGCCACCAGGAGTTGTTCCTCTCAAATGAACCTTCTAGATAACCCACTCAGGTCCTGCTAAGTGCCGCTGGCACAGACAGCCACATCTTAAGAGCCAGCACCAGCCACAGTCATTGAGCCTGAGCCCAGCCTCACCCTGGCCTCATACTATGTGTCACATCTTCCCATCTTCCCAGCCTCTCCTGTTTGATCTCACCAGGGCTGAGGACCTGGGCAAGTCACTCCCCTCTCGGCCTCAGTTTTGAGTTGGGAATATCGGACTAAATGACCTTTGCAGCACCACTACTCCCCCCCCCCCTTTTTTTTATTGTGGTTTAAAAAACAAACCACAAAATTTACCATCCTAACCATTTCTCACTGGACAGTTCAGGAACATCAAGTATGTTCACATTGCCATGAAACAGATCTCCAGGAAGATTTCATCTCGCATATCTAAAACCATGAACCCATTAAAGAACTCCCCTCCCTTCACCCCTGGCCACCACCAGGCTATAACTACCTTAGTGATTTTCTCTAAGTGGAAAGTTTAGTTGCCCAGTCGTGTCCAACTCTTTGTGACCCCATGAATTGTAGACTACCAGGCTCTTCCGTCCACGGGATTTTCCAGGCAACAGTACTAGAGTGGGTTGTCATTTCCTTCTCCAGGGGATCTTTCCAACCCAGGGATCGAACCCGGGTCTCCCACATTGTAGGCATCTGAGCCACCAGGGAATCAGGTGGCATTTTGTCTCTTGATGACTGGCTTATTTTACTTACCATAATGTCCCCAAAGTTCACCTGCATTGCATCAGGATTTCCATCCTTTTTAAGGATGAATAATACTCCACTGTATGCAGAGACCACATTTTATCTGTTTATCTCTGTTGATGCTGGCTTGAGCTGCTTCTACCTCTAGGCTAGTGATTAAATAATGGCTGCTATGAACCTGGGAGTACAGATATCTCTGAGATCCTGCTTTCACTTCTTTTGGATATTTACCCAGAGGTGGGACTGCTCAATGATGTAGTAGTTCTATTTTTGATTTCTGTAGTTTTAGCTGTGCTGGGTCTTCACTGCTACTCGGGCTTTCCTCTAGTTGCAGAGAGAGGGGCTGCTCTCTAGCTGCAATGCACAGACTTCGCCCGGCGGTGGCTTCTCTCGTCGTAGGATTCTAGAGCGTGTGGGCTCAGTAGCTGTGGCTCCTGGGCTTTAGAGCACAGGCTCAGTAGTTGTGGCACATGGGCTTAGTTGCTCCATGGCACGTAGGATCTTCCCAAATCAGGAATCAAACCCTTGTCTCCTGCCTCGAATTCTTCACTACTGAACCACCAGGGAAGCCCTCTTATTTTTCATTTTTTTGAGGAACTTTCATACTGTCTTCCATAGCAGAGGCAGCATTTTACAATGTCACCAGCAGGGCGCAAGGGTTCCAATATCTCCATATCCTTGCCAACACTTGCTTCATTGGTGTTTTTTGATAATAGCCATCCTAATGGCTGCGAAGTGATATCTCACTGTGATGTTTTTTTTTTAACTGAAGTATAGTTCAATTCCTGTATTGTGTTAATTACTGCTATTCAGCAAAGTGACTCATTGATACATATATTTTTCATATTCTTTTCCACTATGATGTATCATAGGGTATTGAATATAGTTCCCTGTGCTATTGAATATAGTTCCGTTGCTGTTTATCCATTCTATATATACCAGTTTGCATCGACTAATCCCCAGCTCCCATTCCACCCCTCTCCCCCCACCTCCTGTCCTTGGCAACCACCAGTCTGTTCTCTCTGTTCCTGACTTTGTTTCTGTTTCATAAATAGGTTCATCTGTGTCATATTTTACATTCCACATATAAGTGATGTCTTACGGTATTTGTCTTTCGAACTGACTTAGTATGATAATCTCCAGTTGCATTCATGTTACTGCACATAGCGTTATTTGCTTCTTTTCTATGGCTGAGTAGTATTCGGACATTCAGGTTGTTTCCATGTCTTGGCTGTTGTGAACAGTGCTGCTACCAACATAGGGGTGCATGTATCTTTTTGAATTATAGTTTTGTCTGGACATATGCCCAGGAATGGAATTGCTGGATCATATGGTAAATCTATTTTTATTTTTCCGAGGAACCTCCACTGCTATTTTCCACAGTGGCTACACATTCCACCAACAGTGTAAGAGGGTTCCCTTTTCTCTCCTCTATACCCTCTCTGGCAATTGTTATTTGTAGACTTTTTAATGATGGCCATTCTGACCAGTATGAGATGGTACCA